CACACACACACACACTCACCCTCACACACACACACACACACACACACACACACACACACACACACACACACACACACACACACACACACGCCCCGACAGGTACACACCACAGTCTTCACCGGCACACACAGCGCACTGTCAGGGCAGCCAGATGTTGAATGGGATGCGAAGTTCTGCCAATGGAAGGAGCAGATGAAGGGGTATGATTACACATAACGCTGTTTTTAAACGTTTCTTTCCATTCTTGAAGAGCTTCAAGAGCTGAGCTATACTAAGATGGCTGAAATGTGCATGCCAGACCAGTAGACGTCACTCTGTAAGGAAACACGGCTCTAAGTATTTTTTTGACAAGGGTGACTCCACCCAAATTTTTTTGCATCCTATAAGTGCGACACGATTCATTGTAGCCACGTCTGCTGGGAATACATTGTTAGTGGGGTAGGCTAGATATATCAAGTGTAGCTTATGTGCATGAAATGATGAAGCCTTCTCTGATGAGATGCTAAGCGTCTTCTATTGCCACTAGAACGAACCAAGTGCAATCATTTCAATGCCGTGAATTTCATCATGTTTCTCTGGTGACCGTGGAAACACATTAGTCCTATAATTCAAAGTCTCGACTGTTTTTTGAACACACTGCCTGATCGCTTTATTTGTTCAGTCCCCGAGCCTGGCACTGGCTAGAAAACAGCTGCATACAGCTGGGAGGTCCTCCTATACCTACAAAATACGGGTGACATAAGACAGCGGTGTTCACTTATTTTTTATGATACAAAGATGAAGAAATTTGTACTCATATGTTGCTACTGGGACTCTTTTAAGCAGTTCCAGAAGATAGATAGATAGATAGATAGATAGATAGATAGATAGATAGATAGATAGATAGATAGATAGATAGATAGATAGATAGATAGATAGATAACATGCACTAGAATGTTTTAAAAGCATAGGAAGATCTGGTCCATGGCTAGGCCCGGTACCAAGTTCGAAGAAACGGACTGGTGGTTAGAGAGTCTCTAAGCAGTGGTCTGGAGACCACTGTTCTAAATCACAATCAGCCACGTTCTAACCATTCCTGCTTCCTGATTCTTTGGCAGATTGTTCTTCCACTCTCATGCAAGACTCTCCAGCACTCTTTCTTTGATTGATCTTCTGTTTTTGGTTCTCCCAGCCTCTGATCTCCCTGCCTTGTCGTTTTAATGGTAATCACCTCAGGCCTTTGTCCCCGACCATGAGTTCTGCCTTGGTCCTAACAGCGCAGTGTGATTGCAGAACATTACCGGTACTTGTCCAGGCACTGGGACCCTTCCCAAGTCTAAAGAGTCTCTTGGTGTGAACTTAGTGAACTGTGTTCAGAGTCCACTGTTTTTCTCTGGAATGACTGCTGTGGCCTGGTGTTTGGGTTTTGCTTTTACCCGTGACATTTTCCTGATGTTTTTGCTTTCCAGCAGAAACCTGAATGTTTTGTACTTGTGTTTGGGGCAATTTTGAGAGGATGCGATGAAACCAAAATGGAATTTAATGCCCATAATTACAAAACATATATTTGGGAAAAAAAAAAAACTGTTCAGCAAAAGAACAGTATACCTACAGTGAGAAACGGTGCCAACAACATCATGCGTTGGGCCTGTTTTTCTGAGAAAAGGTGGAGGGAATTATGAATAGTTTGAAATAGCAGTCGGCGTTATATGGAACCTTTGGGCTTCTGACAGGAATCAAAACAACATGTCAGGAAAAGCCAATTATATCACACATTTATTTGGGGTTAATAAATAGCGCTTGAGGTGTGTGCTTATTGCTCATCCCCATTAACTTGAGGTTGAATGTGTTTATTTCGTTTTGAAAACGGCCACATTGGATTCTCTCTCTCTCGCACACTTTCCAGGAATGTTGTGGCAAAAACTATTTTTTTACGTTCGACCTGTGGTTAATGCACATTTCTCCATCCAAAGGAGGCTATTAAAAACACACTTACTGGTTTCCACGTTGCTTCTCTTTGAAATTTCATCTGTGCAAGTCATTTCATCTGTGCTATATGTTACATATAGAGCATATTTGACAATAAAAGCTGACTTGACTTGAATTGCTTTGGCCATATCGAATGGTGTGGCGAAACGTATCACACTAATCAGAGATTGTGCCCCCTTGTGTCGTGAAGGGGAAATCTTTGTCAATTATTACAAAGAAAACTGTAAATGGTTTGGGGTGTTTTTTAAAAATATATCATTCATGTTTTCCTGATGTGTGTAATTGAATTGGTTATTTCAGCTATTGTGCATATAAATTATTCGTAACATAAACAATTTCACAAATGTGTTTAAAACATTTAAATTTTTTAAATAAACACCTGAACTGATAAATGCAATTTACTGCCTGTGCTACTCTTCCTCTTGGCGTGCTGGCCACAAAATGTGATCGTGAAGGCTTTGTGTTTTTGGTAACACTGATTATAAGCCTTTATAATATGTAAAAGGGGTATAATGGGGCTGATTGGCAGTTAGACTGAGAAATCCCAAATGAAATGGATTGGAACCATCATACAGTTTTGTAGTACAGAGATTGCTACTTTCTTTCGTCAAGCTTGGCTACCAAGAAATGTAACTTTTTCTAAATGTGTGGTAATCGTTTTTCCAACTTGCTCCTCACATTGTAAGACATTTTGAATTTGTGTTGCTCCATATATTTTGTTCTTCTACTTCTTCCTTTCATAACTTTGCTGCTGTGAATTGGGAATTTCTCCATTGCAAGACTAATAAAGGATTTCTTATCTTATCTTATCATAAATTGCAGTTTTTGGACAACATATTGTAGCCATGTCTTCCTCACAGTCAGACGCTCTGTGTATGAGTCTCGGCTCATGACTTTTCGTATGGAGCTGGCATGTTTTCATGCTTGCATGGGTCTTTCTTTGGGAATCTGTGAAGCAGGTTTTTCAGCAATGACGGCGACCTAAACAAAATAACCGAGTAGACTGACAAGTAAGACACCTATGTGTCTTTGTCTCCCAATTATGGTACTCTAAGATTGGAGAACCTTAATGAAGAGAAACAGCACAACTACATTGAGCATAATAGTGAGTTGTGTTTTTAATTCTTTGTTTTACATCTTTTTCTCTGTCGGTTCATCAAAATATCACGTGAAACCTGTCCAAGGCGCAAAAAAGATCGAGCTTGTCCTCTGGTGTGAAAGATTGGCTGTACACGCCCTCTGCTGGTGATCACAGGGTCTTGATTTATTTTTTAATGTTAATTGTTCAGCAGACAGTAATTAGTCATTTAAAATATCCAAACACTTTTTAGACAAGGGTGAACATTTGCAGAATCTATCTCCCCTAAGTTCACTTAAAGGAGTGCACAAATCTTGGGGTAACGATCAAATTAAAGCACATAGTAAGTTAAGTTGAGCGATGATTCGGCGCCTTGTTGCACACCTCCACAATGACCTGTTGCAATGTCTTTATGGATGTCGCCACCGGTTGGAAACTTTCCTGGAAACTGCCCTTTCCTTCCCTGAGCCAAGCCAAGAAGCCATCCAGCTGCTTCTGTACCTCCGCTTGCTCCTCAAGTTCAGCCTGCAGTGCATTTCGAGCACACACCTCGGCCTCATAAGCCCTGCGGACCTCCGTCAAGGACGACTCCAGTCTGAGCATCTCCTAGAAGTGGGGAAGTGTATTAGTACAAAATGAGAGTTTATTATAGTATTAGTGGTGAAATTAATTAATATCGATAATTATAAACATGCTGTTACATGCTTTAAAAATGAGATTCGCTCATTATATTCTCTTTTATGTTTTTATGCAACACAGGGCTAATTTTCTTTATTAAAAACACAAGCCTTGGATCGTGAGATCACTTTTGGTTTGTGCACCATGTTGGCAGCTCAGAACAGGAGGACAGAACAAAACACCACGAGACCTATATATACATAAGAGCTCTTATGTATAGAGACAGCTATGGGAACGGCTACTGTACCTGTAAGACACAGGAACTAATAGTACAGTATTTGTTACAACGGCTCATATTTCCCGGGGTGGTTTGTTTCTTTGAACGTTAGGCTGAAAATCTTCATTTGAAAAGACCACCAAAACGCTGTACGTGTGATCCCTTCAACTTGCTTGCATTAAAGGGTAAGTCATGTCCAAATTACTTGATATGACTCGCCTGTGTGTCCGGAGGATGTTTCCTGTGACACTCGTCCTCCTTCAGTAGGACCTTGGGCGGGACGGAGAAACAGCGGGTGACCAGCTGCTCCTCCATCCGCTCCGACAGCTGCTTGAAGCTCTCTCCCACAAACGCTTGCAGTTTGCGGCTACACTCTCTAGCCTGGACGCGGAGCTTCTCCTCGGTAGTCGCGTCCGACTCACCTTTACTCAGTTGTCGCACGCATACTTTCTCCACCACGTTCAAAATGTCGCAAAGACATTCCAGGAAGGCGCTGGAGAGACGGAACATGAAAGTTTGCGGCGTGAAGCCGAAAAACTGCGCCTCGTATAGGTCTAAAGACGACGCGGGGAGAATGCTGGTCTCCTCGCAAGTATCTTCTCTGCCATCCATCCTTGTTTTTACTTTTCCCGCTTCGCCTTGATCGTTTCTTCTTCTTTCAGTTACGTTGGCAGTAGGTAGACAACTCTATCACGCTCTACTGCAACCAAGTGACGACAAATGGAATTGCAACCACGAGAAGCGGGCTACTGCAGTGGCTGTCGAACTTTTTTCCCACTAAGTATCACCATAGCATTGAAAATAGTACAGTAAAAACATTTTATTAATTATTCCTTTAAGAAGTTGCAGATGTTGTAATGGACTCTCCTATCTGGTGTGCCGGCAGCGTTGGATCCACTCCCACTCAGTGATGGTGTGGGTGGTTGTCTCTATGTGTGCCCTGCGACTGGCTGGCGTGGCGACCGGTTCAGGGTGTCGTACGGCTTTCCCCTACAGTCATAAGCTCTAGCACCTCCCGCGATTCTGCACACGATAGCCGGTGTTAAAAATGACTATCACATTGATTCATTTAAGATGTGTTGCACATCATATTCAAATAAAACGTGTACCTAAATAAATGTTCAAAAACAAACTGCTCTTAGATTAAATGAAATATATTGAATTTAACAGTTGAATACAACGGAACTGCACTTGATCAATGTTTTGTGTACCACTACGGCAGGGGTCTCACTTTGTTTATGGGGGGTGGGGGGGGGGCTGGAGATGCAGTCTGCATCAAGTACAGTATACCACAAAAAAACGATTTAAATGATAAAAAATGTACAACGAATCCAATATTTATTCCAAGTAGTAACAGTTCAGAACATTACTCTTCAGAACGTGAGCAAGGTTGATGAACAGGTCATCTCTCTCATCTCCCTGGTACAGTATTTTGCATACTCCTCACTCAACATGTCTCGCTGAGTAATTACGTCTGAATTCTTGAGCAACGTAACTTAGTCTATGCATTCAAGATATGTCGGGGTGCCCCTGTGTTCAACAACAACAAAAACATTATATAACCAGGTGAACCTTACTTAGACATTTGTAGTGAAGGCTGCCTTGGTTAACAAATGTAGCACTGTCACTTTAAGAGTCACGCTAGATCAAAACACGCAGGAACTTAAAGAGCGTGAGACAATCAGACCAGTAAGTAAAAAAAAAAAAAAAAATCAGACCAGCAAGTGAAGTGAGGGTGACATGCACGTGAAGGAGAGTAGTCACTGAACTGTGCCTACTGCTTGTCCCAACTTGATACACCCATGATCGTCGTTGTAACCCTGGCGATATTCAGGTAATTGGTAACTAGTTTACCATGACGTATGTTAGGTGTTAATTTTGGATAGACGATTAATTATTTGAATGGTATTTGTAGAGCACAATATCGTGGTTTGGAGCTTGAAATCTACCACTAGTGAGTCGCGTGAACAGCTCTACAGCGTAAGCGTTCGCAACGTTACAAGATGTAAATGTTTTTTTTGGACTGTGAAATTATATGAACTGTGTTATCTGTTCTGTAGAGGGGAGATCATTTGTGTTTTTCCACATGCTTTGTATGCACCCAACACACCGGGACGTATCGAGTAAGTGTGTCTGCATCTTAAAACATTGGGTTGTAATGATTATTTGTTCTGCACTTTAAGTTTAATGAAGTATTGTGGCTTGGAAATAATGTATTTTTATTTCTGTTTCTCTATTAAGCAAGCCACTGCTGTTGTCTATTATGGTGTAATTGTCTTTAATCTGTTAGATACTCTGATCTCTTAGATCCCTTTTCGAACTCTTTTAAAATTCAGTTAACATCTCAGTCTTTCCTCTTAATGCTGTACAATTTTTCACTGTCCAGTCGGGAATAAAGCCCACATAAAAATTATTTTGTGTTCAGTTCAGTCTTTCCAAAGACCCGGCTACACAATTTTGGTGTCAGAAGTGGGATTCCCTATTCAATTCTGAGATTGTAGTGGATAGTGTGAGTTTGAGTATAATAGACAACAGTAGTGGCGAGAAGCGAAGCAGTCCTAATGCCAGAGTGCGGAGTGTCGAGGGAGTGAGGCCTTCGTTTCCAAGCTGTGGTTCGTGTGGCTGAATGTGGAGCAGATTCGCATCGACACGCATCATGGGATGCGAGCAAGTCTTCAAAGCTACCAGAAGAGAAATAGATTGACTTTTTGTGACTGTTGCGCTTTGCTGCGTTAAATACCTTGGAACGGAGACCTGAAAATGTCAGAGGACGACGTGCAAGCAGCTGCCATCCTGGCAGGAACCCACAGCGAGGACGACCCAAGTTCCTTACAATTGGGTGATGAAGGTAACTATGTGACCGCATTACAGTCACAGATTAGAGAATTCAATCGAAAACAGGAGGCTGTCATGTCAAGCCTTGCAAATTTGGGTAATGTTCAGCCAAGATCAATTGTTTACATCCCAAGGGAAAAACACATTATGCCTTTTTCTGGTGAGAATGGGAAAGATGTTGACACTGTTGACGAATTTCTAGAGGAAGTGGAACGGGCAATAAGAACGAGAGGTCTACAAGAGGAAGACCAAGTAGACTTAATTCTTTCACTGTTAAAAGGTTCAGCCCTAGAAGAGGTCAAACTTTGTATGCGAGGGCAACCTAAGAAACCCAGTGATGTGTTTTCATGTACTACACTTTTAGTGTAGGTGTACCCAGTTCTGCCCTACGCAAGAGTCAGAGGAAAACTGCAGGGAATGTCGGGGTGCCCCTGTGCTCAACAACAACAAAAACATTATATCTCCAATTTTTGCTGAAATTGGCTGGGCTTATCGTCAACCTTTTGTCTTCAGGTCAGGTTTTAAAAAAGACCAGACTTGGACTCGGGTGACAGGATTCATTGGGACTGTAATTCTTGAAGGTCACACTTTCAGTCCGCCGCCACCTAGCGGCAAGTATTATAAGCGTCGCACATGACGTAACCGTCAGACACGCCCCCTGTTTGGCGGAAAAAAAGGGACATGCGCGGTGTCACCTCGTATACTTTCCGTGTTCCTTTTCTCGGCTTGTCTCCTCGTAGCGGCTTTTCGCTTCCACACGTGTAGCCTTTCCTATGTGAATCTCCCTCTCCTCAATCCACGTGTAAGCTCACCCTGTTGTCTGTATAATGTGTGCGATTGTATGTCATCATCAGATCCTCCGTGCTTAGTGCGTAGCCGTTGGTATGACGGGGGGCAAAGATTGCGCTGTGGAAGTTTAGCCGGCTCTTGTTAGCATGGTGATGTTAGCTAGCCGACGAGCATCCACTTTTTGTTGTTGTGTTGCTAACGCTAGCTAGCTAGCAACCGTAGAAAAAGCAAGACTGAATGCGACGAGCCAAACCCGTGAAGCTAAATGAAATGTTTATTGCGTGTCGTCTCTTCAGGTGTGAAGCCACAGCAACCGGCAACCATGGGGGCTTATCTGTCGCAGCCGAACACGACCAAGACCTCCTCAGATGGCGGCAACAGCACCATGAGCTACGGCTTCTCCGCTATGCAGGGCTGGCGGGTTTCCATGGAGGTGAGCCGAATGAAACGGGGTCAATCTAAAACGCCTATATGGAGAAAACAGCTTACCGTTGGTTAATGTCAGAAAAGTACGACCAGTCCTTATTAAAATGTACTTGCATGTATCTTGTCGGGTCCACTTGAACCAGTGAAAATATCAAAACAATCACCACCATATTTTGGACTTTATAGGCATTAAGCCACCCCCTCTGTGTATGTTCACTGTCGAGAAAAAGTTTAATATCAGAAGTACGAAAAATCGTCACTAAAATTCATGTGCACATCTGTACTTATGCCCACATCAATCTCTGATAATATCAAATCAATTGGTCCAATAATTTGAATTAGATGTAATGCGTCTTCCTCTCCATAACAAAAGCTTAGTGTCCGTTGAAGTCAGAAAACTGCGATCAATGTTGACCAAAACCTATGTGGACATCTCTACCCATACCCACATCAATCTCTGACAATATCAAATTAATAGGACAAATATTCTGGATTTTATGGATATCGACATCTTCACTCCATAGGCCACATATGTCAAAGTGCCGGCCCGCGGGCCAAATCCGGCCCGCGAGAATGTTTTCAGTGGCCCCTGGGATGATATTGATTTATTATTAGAACCGGCCCGCGGACCGCAGCAAGCCGAGAGCCCGCAGATCTTTTACACGCACCAAAACTACATTTCCCACAATGCAACGGTGACGCGCCAAGCAGTCGGCCGCTTTATTTAAATATTTATTCGTCCAGCAGTCGTTCCCATAACAGTGACATTAGCTTTCAGATACCCATCAAAAATGGCAAAACGGAAGGTGGACACTGAGAACCGGGGGTTTCAAACAAGGTGAGAGTCGAAGAACATGTTCATGGACGTAGCTGGAAAACCTGTGTGTCTTCTGTGTGGAGAAAGTGTGGCGCGATTGAAAT